GGGCGGGGGGAGGTTGGGGTGGGCAGAGGAAGGGCTGGAAATGGCTAAACCAATGCCTCGCTGCTCAAGGTCCCAATCCAAAAGTTTCCCGAACAGGGAGGACAGGGAGAGCGGCCACTCTGAGTGCGGCGTGCAGGTGCCGGGCTCCCCACCTGGAGAAGAGGCACCCCGAAGCCTTCAGATGTGCCGGGGTCAGACACCCTGAGACACCAGCAGGAGTGCCAGGCACAGTGGCCCCCTCTTCCCTGTCACACTCCCAGGGAGTCCACTGATGGGGTCAGGGCAAGACGGAGCAGTGTTGGGCAAAGACTGGGAGTTTCAGGACTGGCTGCTGGATTCTGGCCCCAGCTCCATGACGTGTAATAATAATAGCAGGGGGTATTTCATGAGCACCTACTATGTGCCGAGCACTTCTCAGAGGCTCTCCCACTTCCCCTCCACTACCCCCACAGGATGCAGGGATTATTATCCCCTCGACAGAGAAGACAGGGTGGGAGCTCATGCCACGTGCCCACAGGGTCGCACATCTTGTGGCGGGTCAGGGATCGAACCCAAGGGAGCAGACTCCAGAGGCTGTGGCACCTCCTCCCACCAAGCCGCTGGCTGGGCCGGCCTCTGGGTGTGGACAGTCGAGGAGCAGGCAGGGGACTCAATGAGGTGCTCTGTCTTCCCTCTAGCACGTCCTGACCAGGCTCATGCCACACCTGTGCGTGCAGGGGTCCTGTCCCAGGGCACAGTGGCCACGCAAGTGTGTGAGTGGGTGAGTGCACAGGACAAGCACACGGAGAGCCACCACACCCACGAGACCAGGGAGGAGAGCGGGCACACAGCGGGCCAGTGCAGGCTCCGGAAGACGTGAGAGTAGACCCGTGTCAGGAGGACAAAGCCCAGGTTCCAAAGCCGTTCGGTGTCCAGCAGCTTTGCGTTTCCTTGACCTTCGCTGTACTTGGGGCCAGCAGATGACAGAGTGCTTACATCACTGGACTCCCACATGGCCGACTGTGGTTTGAGTCCTGGACCTGGAGGCTGGAAAATCCCAGATCCCAGGGAGAGAATGAAAGAGAAAAGATTGCAGCATGGCCATCCCCTGGGGTGATTTCTCACCTTCTCTCTCTCTCTCTCTCTCTCTCTCTCTCTCTCTCTCTCGGCTCCTCGCGGTCTGCCCACAGCTTCTAGCCCTCCGGCCAGCAGGCACCACGCCTCTGGAGGTGGCCTTGGCCAGGTGCGCTGGCCGGGGAGCTGAGCGGGTGAGGCCCAGCACGTGTGGTCTTTGTGTTCTTTGCAGGCCGAGCAGCCATGGCCCACTGCAAGGGCGAGCAGGACGACTGGCTGACCGTCTCCCTGAAGTATTTGCTCTTCGTCTTCAACTTCTTCTTCTGGGTGAGTGGGCTCCGCACACGCGTCCCTCCCCGAGCGCGGATGACTCAGGCCACCTTTTTCATGACTCACACTCTCAGGTTATTTCTTCCAAATCAGAGACCACCTATGGGCAAAGTCTGCCTACTTTAAAGCAAACGTGTACATTTGCTTCCGTGGGGGAGAGAAGAACGCGGCTGTGGGTTGGCACGGAGTCTGAACAGAGGGCGTGAGCAGAGCAGCGAGCCCACCTCCCACCCCGCCCGGAGGCTCTGCCTGCCCCTCCCTCGCTAGCTGGGCACCAGGGCCTCGCGGGAACGCGGCTGCCCGCCATGGCGGCTTGTTTCTGCCAAAGCCCATTTTCCCGGTGTTCACGTTTTCCAGGCCCAGGGCAGAGTCCTGGGGACCCAGCGGCCTGGAGCAGGAGGGTGTCCAGGGTGTCTCCCCTCAGGAAACCTTATCCGGGTGAGGAGCATAGACTGTCCACTTGAATTTTCTGGGTACCTGGGGGCAGGGAATGTGTGCATTTTGTGTTACTGCCTCACTAAATTTGGGAAGGTAGGAGTTTCTTTTTTTAAATTATTTATTTTATTTATTAGTAGTATTTTAAGTTTGCTATAGAACATGTGCACTCACCAGAGAGACAGAGAGAGAGGGGAAGTGAGAAAGCAAACCACCAGATTCAAGACTCGAACCACTGTCGGCCACGTGGGAGTCCAGTGTCTTAACCACCTGCCAGCCCAAGGACAGGGTTTGCAGTCAGCTGTAGGTCTACCACCTACTAATGGTGGGGCCTTAGGTAACTTACTTACATTCCATGAATCTACTGATATTTCCCCAGCTATGATTTGGGGGTCAAATCTAAGCTCTCGGGGTTCCACTCAATAGATGCACATGAACTCAACAGAGGCAGAGAGAGAGAGAGGAGATGACCCCCAGTGGGGCATGGCACCCTGCAATCCCTTTCTTCCACTTCTCCATCCTGTCAAGGTTAGGGGCACACACACGCTCACACACGCTCACACACGCTCACACACACGTAGTGTGTTTTATCAAACCACCAAGGCCAGGATTCAAACCACTATCGGCCATAAGGGATCCAGGTCCCTTAACCACTCACTGAGCTACAGGGCCAGCTCCAGTAAATGAGATGGATATTTTTGTTTGTTTGTTTGGAGAGGTTTTTGCTATAGGGCGTGTGTGCTCGCCAGAAAGACAAGAGACAGAAAGTGAGAAATCGCCCCCCGGGGGGATGACCATGCTGCAATCCCTTCTCCTCCATTCTCCTCTCGGGATCTTGGGCACGCACACACATGTGCCCAGTGTGAGTTTAAGCCACCGGGTCCGAGACTTGAACCGCGGTCGACTACCTGGAAGTCCAGTGACATAGCCGACTGCTGGTCCCTGATGTTTTTAATATATTAGATGTCAAAGACCTGCAAATACCACCACATCGACCTCCTGATAAGGCAGAGCTGGGGTTCCTGCTTAATTGGTGAGAAAGAGCCCCCCACATACCGTCTGAGAAGTGTCCCCCAAAGGCACATGCAAAGGCGGGCAGGCCTGGGTACGCGGGGGCTCGGTTGGGAGCGGAAAGGGCCTTGAGGGAGTACTGTAGGGGCCACAGCGAGGGCCTCGGAGAACTGACTGTCCTTAGATGCTGTCTCTTCAAAGCCTAAACAACTGATGTTTGTGGAAATGTTTTTGCAAAGTTCCTGAAAGCATTTCAGAAACACACGCACATGTGCACAGTGTGACATTCAAGCCACCAGGCCGAGGACTGGGACTGCAGCTGGCCTGTAGGAGTCCAGAGCCTCAGCCGCCACGCCGCCTGCTGACCCCATTCTTTGCAACTTTTAGCCTCCCTGGGCAAGGGTTCGTTCCCTGGAGTAGTGAAGACGTGATGGTGAAGACAGAGGAGTGATGGGCTGTGCCGATGTGGGTGGTGAACTGTGTCTGTGGACGGTGTGAATCCTCGGAAGTCCAAGAGTTCTCAGGGTTCTTACTTAGTGAGCCTTTCTTTTTAACACTAACCAGGTTATATTAAAACAGTCCTAAGGGGCCAGCAGGTGGCATAGTGCTTACGTCACTGGATCCCACATGGCGGTGGTTCAAGTCCTGGATCCGGTGGCCTGAAAAACACACTGGGTGTGTGCCAAAGATTCTGAGAAGAAAATGAAAAAGAAGGAACTGTGGCATGGTCATCCCCCAAGGAGTGATTTCTCGCTTCCCTCTCTCTCTCTGTCTCTCTGTAGTGAGTGCAAGCGCCCTATGGCTAAAGCTCTTTAAAAAAAGAAAAGAAAGAAAGAAAAAGTCCGGATCATTAAAGTCTTATGTATGCACTATAGATAATCTCTGAAATATCCTAAGTATAGTCGGAAAATGGAAGTGGCCTGTGTCTCACTGCGGTAGTTTCCTGGGGCTGATGGAACGAAGTATCAGAAGCCACGTGGTTTTCAGTAACAGAAGACTGGGGCCCAGCAGGGGCACAGTGGTGAAATGCAGAGCCCTGGGAGACTGCCCCGCGGGAAGGGTCTCGGTTTGCGTCTGGAGCTGCCCTGAGCTCCAGGTTTACGCATGGCCATGAGCTGGGGCTGCTGTGGCCGGGGGTGGCCCAGAGGGTAGATGCACTCTTTCTCAATCTCTACCCTTCCTGCTCATAGAAGAAAGAAAGAAACTTTAAAAAAAAAAAAAAAAGGCAAACAGAAAATGGGATCAGCAGGTGGCATGTGGTTAAGGAACTAGACCCCCACGTGGCCAACCACAGTTCAAACCCTGAACCTGGAGGCTTGAAAATCATGCCGGACACGTGTGCATGCAGAGTGCTTACGTGCCCAAAATCCTGAGAGGAGAGGAGAGGAGAAAGGATTGCGGCGTGGCCATCCTCCTGGGAAGTGAGTTCCCACTTTCCCTCTCTTGGTCTTTCTCTGGTGAGTGCACCCACCCTATGACAAAAAGAAACTTAAAACACTAAATAAAACACACACGCGCACACACACGCACACACACACACACACACACACACACACACAGCAATGTAATCTCTCACAGTGCTGGAGGCCAGAAGTCCCAAATGAAGGTGTCCCAGGGCCAAGCCCCCACTAAGGCTCTGGGCCGGCTCTTCCTTGCCTCTTGCCTCTTTGGGGGTGACAGGCAGTGCCCGGAGCTCCTTGGCTGGCCGCTGCCCATCCTCCCCTGCGGGCCTCCCTGTGTCTGCCCTCACAGGGCAGCTTCCTCTCCCGTATTAGATGAATGACTTCACCCCGAGTACGTCCGCAAAGACCCTCTTTTCACTCACAGGCATGGGGTGAGCACCTCTTTCTTGAAGGACGCGATCCCACCCAGACGGCATTCCCATCCCTCCTAGCCCACAGGTCGGGGTGAGGGAACGGCGGTGGTGACCTCACTGACGGAGCAGCAGCAGGGCCGACACGTGTGGAGAGCATCCCGGGGTTTCGGGGCAAAACGGACAAGCTTAGGATCAGGGCATTAACAGGCTGGGGCTGAGAGAGAGCGATGTCTCTGCGAGACGTGGGCCTGGGGAGAGGGAGGCCAGAGAGAGACGCCGTCTGGGGTCGGATGCAGACACGGTGAGTCTGAGTGGCCAGGAGACGCCTGAGCGGAGACCCACGTGGGCAGTTAACCCAGGGTCTGGATCTCGGAGGGGCTTGGGGACTGTCCCCATTTGGATGGCGGCTGCAGCCGTGGGAATAGGTGAGCCCTTAGAGCAAGTCCGGAGACCACAGAGCAAAGAGACCAAGTCTGAGACAGCCCACGGCCCGCATGCCCTGGCTGAGGATGGTCCTGGCAGGAGGCACGGTACGCGCTGAGACTAGGAGCACCCGGCAAACCGGAGCGAGTGGTCGCCCTGGGAGAGTCAGAGGAGCCTGGGAGGGGCGGTCAGAGGGAGGAGAGAAGCCAGAAGTCGGTGTCATGGCTGCCAGGTTGAAGGTTCAGGAAGCCGAGTGTTCTGAGGCCTGGAAAAGGCCACTGGGTATAGCCATAGGCTGTGGCCGCAGGGGAGCCTTTGAGGAGAGTAGTGGGTGAGGGGACGAGGGAGAGGCCGTGTAGACCACAGCAGCCGGCACCAGGAGCAGAGGCAGGGAAGCCATCGGTGTGGCTGGGGCTGTTGGCGCTTTGGCACCCAGTCCGCCCATGCTTGTGGGCAGGTGGGAACTTGCACGTCCTGCCGGTGCCAAGGTCCCAAAGGAAGGAAGAGACCATTACATAGTGACCACCCTCCGGGAGCCCGAGTGGACTCGGCGTCTACACGGCTGCCGTTGGTGTCCCTTCGGGAGCAGGAGGAGGACACGTGGGTGGCGGCACAGGCAGACGGGCAGCGAGCGTGTAACCAGAGCAGCTGCAGCGAGGGGGAGCGCCCCCATTTACATCTCCCGGCTTCGAGTTAAAAATACCCCAGGGACCCACTCGGCCAAGCCTCATTTCCCCGAAGGGAGATGGCTGGCTTTTGAAGGCCCAAGCCTCAGTCTCCTATCCAGGGGTCCTGGCTTCTGGCCCCCGTGGCCCCTTGGGAACTCCCCCAAAGTTGATACGGCTGGCAACTGGCCTGTCTCCTCCCAGGGGAGCACAGTGCACAGTCTCTAGGAATTTTCCAGGATTCCACAGTAAGTGGTCGTCCAGGGAGGGTCCCTCCCCACCAAGAGAAGGGACTGTCTCTCATGCAGACAGACCCCAAAGCCATCCTGCTCTAGCTGAGCCTCCCGCGTTAGACACACACAGCAGGCCCGTGTCTACCCTGGCGGGTGCACCAGGGTTGCCCCCTCTTCCTCCTTCCTGGATAACCATGACGTAGAGCAACAGCCGTGGCCCGACACCTGCCCATCTGTGGGCACTATGCCACTGCCACCTCCAGTGCTCAGATACGGAAAGCCAGCCAAGAGCCCAGGGTCAGCGTGGCCACACCAGAGTGAGTCAGGTGGACACAATCCCCTTCGCCCCCAGATCAAAGGTCCCCCTCTGTGTAGAGGCCTTGCCCCGCTCCTTAGGAAACCCGGCACAGCGGG